TGATTTAAGCAGATTTACTGATCAAGAACGAAAAGAATTTTCTGGAACAGCAATTGGAAGATTGTGTATTGGAAAAGATGACCAGAGTCATCTCAATTGGTTAAATAAGTTTATTTCATCAACACAACTCCAGAATAAACAACAAGAAGAAAAGATTGAGAAAAAAGATAATAAAATTGAAAGAATAATTCAAAGCATTGAAGTCCCAATTCTTGTTAAAGAAAGGTTCAACATATAGAAATACTATAACAAACATTTTTTTGTTATTGTATTTCTATATTTAAATATTATATAATTGTCTAGTATTAACTAATATCTTGTCATCATGTCTTTTATTTTACTTTTCAAATTGATTCTGATATAGTGACATACAAAGATATTACTTGTTATATTTCTCACATTTTTCCTTGAGTTGAATGATTTTTAAAAAAGACATTACGTTATAACCTTTAATTCTTAGAAGAATAGTACTATCTTAATAACACTATTTCCTTCAATAACTCAGATATAAACCCAGTTTTAGATTTAAACGGGGGAATTAAAGAAATAGATAACAAAGGGTTTTAAGCACAAATTGAAGTTTTTAAGAATAATATTATCTTACACTATAAAAAACTATAAAGACTTTAATTTATGAAGAAAAAAAGATAGTCAAAGAAATAGAGTTTTTTGTAAGTTATGTGGGAGTATTATCAAAAAAGAATGTTTTGTATAATATGAAAAGAGAAACAATGCAAAAACGATATTTCCATTATTTACAAAATTTGATAAAGACTAATATAAAAACTATCTCAAATGAAATCAAATAATAAACACCTCATAATATATTAAGCCAAAACATTTGAATAAAGCATAAGAAACTCATCAACAATTTCTTTTGTTTTTTATTCTATGATTTTGTTATATATTATTTAGATAAAAAGATGTAGACTATAAAGGAATAAAACAGTAAAACAAAATATTTATACTTTGTTCTAAGTTACTTCATAGACTTATTTTATTTCATAAAACACAAACAAATCAGAGTTTCATTGTTATTGAATTAATGTCAATGACTCTTATAAATAAAATCAAATAATACAAATATGAGAACGAAATGGAAATAATAAACAGAAATGATGAAATAAACATTAAACAATAATGTTATGAAATGAACTTATTCTTTTTATTTAAATTCTTGAAATTCCTTTTTCTCTTCTTTCTAAAAAATGAATTGAATATTTTACTATTTTCTATAATATCCTTTCTATTATTTTATTATACACAAAATATTCACAATTTTGATTATTAGATTGATTGGATGTTTCATTTTGTGAATATTTCATTTATTCTCATTCTATCATTGTGGTGTTTATAACATTTAATTCATCTATTCTTGTGATGGTTGACTCTTCAAAATGAAAAGACAGTGCATTAAAAGAAACATTGACTTGAATTAGAAGAGAATGGGTAGAATGAGAAATGAGATGTTTAAGTTGTTTACAAAGGTTGAAAGAGTAAAAACAGTTGACTAAGAATATCAGATGATTAGAGAAAAATCCATTGAATCAGAAAAGAAGTTATTCTCAACATTACAAACAATTATCAAACTCAAAAACACACTTCATGAAGCTGCTTTACTTCAAGTTGAAATTTCATACTCATTATGTGAAATGACACTAAACAACCTCAAAGCAACACAACTGACTAACTCCATTTTGAATGCATCACAAGATATTCTGAATCAACAAAACTATTTCAATTCACTCATCAAAGATAATGTAGAAATCACTCTCCATTCATTTCTTAATCAATTCAGAATATTAAGTAGAAGAGACTGTGAGTTGGAAGAAAGAAGAAAAAAAAATGGATAAAATAAAACAACAAGTAATGAAGAAAAAGAAAAAGAAATTAGCATGTTCTTCTTTAATTTCCATCAACAAGAAATATCAACAAAGTAAAGAAGAATATTTAGAAATGAGAAATGAATTAAAGAATGATAGAAATATTCTCCTTAAAACAATTTCAGAGATAGCAGAAAGTATTGGTCAAGTATTTATTAGAGAAGGATGGGGTTGTCTCACAATGAACAGTAAAATTATTGAGAGAGTAAGTCAATATCATTGGAAAGATGAAGAAAAGAACATTTTAGAACTGACTAATGTCATCACTAATTCAGTCAAAACACACTCTGTTCAAAACACCACCAGAAAACCAACGAATGTATTTCATGGAAGAGTTGTTTATAGTTACAACCCACAAAATGAATATGAATTGAAATTAGAAAAAGGAGAATGGATCACAGTTATTTCTACTGATGGAGAATGGTGGGAAGGAGAAAGTAAAGGGAAAATAGGAATATTTCCATCTCATTATGTTGAACGAGATGTTAAAATCAACTAAGAAATTGTTTGTGCAATAGTTTATTCAAAATCAAATGACTAATTATTTATACAATGAAATGTTGTGTTTTTAACATGACTATGATAGAACAAATATGAATAAATGAGTATAGATATGATGTTCATATGAAAATACACAATACACAATACACAATGTTAGAATGATTATTTCATAACTAAAATAATAACACAAAAACATTATATAAATCAATTAATGATGATAATAACATCAGACAAATAAGAATAATAAGTTATGTTTATAACAAAGATAAAACAAATTAATAAAAGAGAAGAATAAGAATAAGTTATGAGAAATTAAATGAAATAATTTGAAGATAAGAATAAAAAGAAAATAAACAAGGAAAAATGACAATGAATGTAAAACAAACAAAACCAAATGAATTAAATAACATAATGAAATAGTACAAATAGATTTGAAGAATAGAAATGGTGATGTTTTCAGATTTTTAAGAAAAAAATCATAATACTTCACCGTCAAATAATGAATAAAATAAAATTATTTATATTTCAATATTGTAATATTATAATAATGTAATAATGTAACATTCAATGTCATAGTTACATTGATGGTTTATTTATTTTATTTGTTGATTGAAAACTCATTGATTTTTCTAATTATAAAACATTCAAAAATTAAACAAGATGAATAATTATATAAAACTCTATTTGTTTATCTCTTTGCATAAAACGTAAAATTATCTTATTCTTTCAATGGAATACTGATTCAATGGACTAAAACACAATTTATCTCCTTTCCTATTTATATTCATTCTTATTTTTCACATCATCACTAATAATAGTATGTGATGTAAAAAAACGTATTCTTTTCAATGGAATTGACTTTGGGTTTTCTACGTATGGAAAATACTTAGAAACGTCACAATATGAATTATGTTCTTTCATATAAATAACGTTGATATCTTTAGAGAATGAACAATTTAACTGATTATCAACAACAAATGCAAAAGGAGAACTAAAGATAATGGATGAACCTAATGGAATGTAAAACGATGTAGTGAATATCCGATAATCAAATGTGTTTATTTCATCACTTTCTAATGAACAAGAGAATATGTAATGATGTTGGTCAGTTATTCCAATTCCAATGTACGATGGTGCTTTTGATACATAACAACCAAAACAATTATCATTATAATCTTCTGCAACAAAATAAACATCTCGTTCTCTTTGGATGTAATTGAATATTGTTGTAGAAGATAATGAACTATTATTTGAGTCATATAAAGTTAATACATCTTTGTTAGAAAGAATGTTAGCTATTCTCTCTGCTCTATCTTTTTCATCAGTGTAATGTAGAAATTGTGGTTGGTTAAATGAAATAACTTTCATTGAGTTTTTACTGTTCAATACTTTGGTGATGTTTAAATATTATTTTTTTAAAAAAATGATATTTATAAATAAATCATACTCAATGAGTTTAACTCATGAGTCAATCTATTTTTATGGGTTTGAACTGAATGAAAATAAAGTAAATTTAAAGTTTAATTTGTATTATTTAAAATGAGTTTGTATTTGTTGTTTTTCATTATTTATTCTTTTCAAATTGTATAATTTCTTTTATGTGTATTATTTCCTCATTCATATTATTATGTATTTTATTTCTATTTTATTTGTTTTTGAATCCGTATTAATTGAATTAAATATTACATTATATTTTGATATCTAATTTGTATATTTTTATATTTCTTTTCTTTTATCCCATTTTCTATTTGTCTTCATGACATATTGATTTTTCTTTTATTATTTTTTATTTAATCATTACACTATGTTTGTTTTATATTTTTTATTCTCTGAAAGAATGGCATGTCAGAAACACAAACAAACATTAATACAATTTCAAATAATTAATTATCAAATATTATTTGATTATGATGATGTATATTGTGAGATAATATTCATTCAAAATTAATTAGTTGATATTTATTAATGTTTATTATAAATGATTATAAATGAAGTAATTAATATGATTATGGTATCATTTATTATTTAATAATAATGAAATATAAATAGTAATGAAAGATATAGACTGAACATATATATTATCAATAAAAATGAATGATAAATGATAATGAACGAGAAACATGAAGAATGAGTTAAAGAAAGAATCATGTTAAATAAGAATATAAAGAATGACATGATTTAATAAACAATAAAACCAAAAAAAATAAGTTAAAAGAAGAATAAATAAGATGGTGATAAAAGAAAAGAACCAAAAAAAAACAACAATGAAGAAATGAAACAAACACATATAAATTTTATGAAATTCTAATCAACATAACACTCATAATTTATTTATTTTGTTTTTCTTCAATATTTTATTCATTCATAATTTCATTATTCTATTATCTTATTTATTGTCATTTCTATCTTTCTTATTATTTTTCATTTTCTTTAACATCTTTTTATTCAACACATAATAATATGATCAAAAGAATAAATAGCTGGATAGAACAAAGAAGGAAGATATAGCGAATGATAGAAGATGATAATAGAAGAAAATAAAGAATAGAAGAATGAGTGATATTTTTAATTATCTCAATAGAAATAATAGAAGAGTGTTTATAAGAATAATTAAAATAATAATTAAAATGATGATTAAAAGAATAATTAAAATAATAATTTCATTCAATTACAACTCATAGAATTTTAAGAAAGAAATAAAATAAGAAGAAGAAACCAAAAGAAGAAATACAAGATAAAAGAAACAATAAACAGGAAAAACAAAAAAAACAAGAAAAAGATAGGAATAAAGAATATATGAAATACAAAGCATAAGAAATAAATAAAATTAAAATGAACGAGAAAAAAACAATAA